GCTGGTGTTTGATCAATGTTAACATAGCTAGTAGAGGGGACAGGTTAGGAAACCCGGCAAACTTCAAAGGGGTAACTTATTGTTATGGTTTTAGTGTGATCACGTGGTTATGACCGTGCACACGCTTTCAAGATGGCGGCTGTCTTTCGAGAAGCGTCCCCTTTACTAACTATGATGTTAAAGAGCAGTAAGTACTCTACTTTGGAGCCCCTCCTAAATAGGGTACAGGTTGATGTAATCTACATGATCTCTTTATCATTTTGCTTCAATTCAGTGCTAGGACATTTTTAGTCGGGACATTTTTCCAGTCCCAGAGTAGTGGTTTACCATCTATACTAGAGCGTGTGCCACAATCATCACCTTTACAATCATTACCTCCCCTTCGGTGCCGACGGAGGGAAACAATACTTCTATGACTTGTGTACGAATGGCAAAAGAACGCCGCTATTCTGAATACAAATTACGTGGATCAGTTAGGCCCATTGAATTGACATTTTCAATATCGACTAAATTGGCGCTACTTTGCGTTAACATTAATCAGTAGGGGTACCACAATGCATGTTAATGTACTTACCGTCAGAGAATGCAGATTGGTTGACAGCAGAATGAGTAGAGACAAAATCAGTTGCATGTGCTGGCGATGAAAGAGATTGAATTAATTAACTTTTGATGGTTTGATGGTTGTTCATGGCAGCGCTCGATCGCTTTCGAACACTGAATAACAGAGGGAAGCTGCCGTACATTCCAAAGGAACAATATTTGATTTAGGTGTCTGTTTTGTTTTGTTTTGTTTGGTTTTTTGCAGTCCTATTATTTTTAGGCAATGGCCGAGGTGGATGTATCATTCTCTCGGTGAGGGAAAATGTTTTATTTTTCATATTTAAAGTAACTCTCGTTTGGCGAAGGTGCTGACCCCGAGTTACTATTTACTTTCCACTCCAAGCACGTTGTCGCACGAAAAAAAAATTGAAACACCTTTACTGAACTGTTAAAATTTACAGTATATGCAAAGTACCCCGTTCAGCCTGTCAAAATAATTGTAAGAGAGTAATATCGATTCTTCATCCTTAGAAATCAAACTGATGTCCTGCAGTGAATCTTCGATCCAAACCACAATTTACTTACATTGAAACACGATATCTTTGAAAGATGCCAACAACTTAGCTTCGTTTTTCCGAGCAACTTTGAAGATACTGTGATGATGAATCGAAATTAAGTTTAGCCGACAAAGCTCGTTGAGCGTGAAGCCGAAAACTTTGCATTTCTTCCTTCTTGAAATATTTATATTGACCCATGTCCACGAAACCATCAGAAGGCTTGAAATTTAACATTTTCCCTACTTCAATGACTAAAGCTAACAATTATTTCGACGAGGAAATCACGCGATTGAAGACATGTAAGATCTAAACCCGGTTCGAAGAAAATTACTGTCAGAATTGACTGCAGTCACTCCTTATATTCAAATGTCGCTGATGAACTTTTGATTATACAAATATTGTACTTTATCAAGATCGGCAAAACTTTCCTTCACGTTCAAACACTTGGAAATACGTAAGTGTTGTTCTACTTACCTTGGTTGAGACCATCATTCTTGAGATCATAGCCCTTTCTTCGGAAAGAACAATTCTGTTATATTAATAATAGGATATGAACTAGTCATACAACAAAAAAATGCCTCCGGCTCACTGTGTGCGAACAGCCGAACATATACATAAGAGAGTCGACCACGATGCACGAGTAATTTGACTGTTAATACCTGTGTCGTACTTATATTATTATTTATTGTCATGGGAGCGAAAACAAACGAACAAAAGCATCTTATGATCGTAAACTTCCTTTTACAGCTTCAAGCTATATTAAGCCCATTTATCAACCCAACAAGGCCAATATCGTTTTCAACTTTTATAAGTTTTGTTCAGAAGTGAGCAAATTGCAATCTTAAACGATTCAGTACCGATAATGCTTACAGCCCTTCAAACCACGTCGTGATATAAAATTGTGACGAGGCATTATTTTGTTTTCGTTGATATTTATTTATGGTAATTCAATCATTCATATCATGCCTCGGATGTGTTACGTGCAAGCCAATAAAAATACGTCCAAGCGCGAGATAATGACGTCACGCAAGGAATAATGGCATGATGACTCATCAGTTAGGAAATGTCACACTGTACACTACAGAATATAATACAAGTCATGCTGCGTATAAAGGCGAAGGACTTGTTCATGCCTAGCGTCGGTTTGTGTTCTAGAACTCATGTAGACTGAGTTAAGTATCGAAGCATCTTTTACTTCAAGAATAAAACAAGGTACTAAAGCGCTAGTTCATTAATTGCTCCAAATTTAACTTTCTATTTTTGCCAACAACCAAATCTAATCAATTGTTTCTTGCCAAGTTGGCACCTAAATTATACGAACAAGCTTAATAATTTTGACAGTTCTAAAAAATCGTCCAACCTGAGCCCAAGCCTAGTTCCTCAGCGTTTTCTTTCCCGTTCACCAAAAGTTTTAAGAAACTCAAAACGGCTCTCTTTTACGTCATGGCTATAAGGTCTTGCAGTCGAGAAGAAATATATCAACTAGTAAGTTTCAATAGACCTTTATCACGCAGCGCCATCTTGGATTCCGTGTCGCACCAAATCCAGGCTGGACGAGCATTCTGTTTGTTTGGCTGAGATTGTAGCTTCTGTTCCGTGGTCGAAATCTCTTAAGAATATTCCTTATTTTGATTCAACTTTGGTCGAGAAATGGCTCGAGAAAGATAGAAAGGTCCCAAAGAAAGTGATAACCCGTATATACAGCAATTTCTCTGAAGGCTACATCTTTGATATCGACGAGTTGTTCTGTGGTTGTTGTCGATGCCTCAAGTCTAGATGAAGATGGAAATATTTTATTCGAACAGTTGCGTGATTCACGCCATTCACACCATTTTTACAGATATTATATTGCTCTTATCTTTTATTTATGCCCGGATTCGTTAATCAAAAACTTCCAACGATGTAAAAAAGTGATGAAATGAAGCTTTAGAAACCATGACTCGTAGCGTGTCCACGTTGTCACACTGATCCGCACCTTCCCTTTCACTGAAAACACAAGACACAGGAGCCGTCGTGAGAGCTCGAAGCTATAAGCCACAGCGGAAAAATGAAGAGCCCTGGAGGTTGCAGATATTTATTTGACCATCTGATTTAAACCTCGCTTTGCATACTAAAATTAAACAATATTAGGGAAAAATTTTTTGTTTTAGTTTCGGGCAGTTTTAAGTATTTTTCTGTCGTGTAGTTCAAGTTTGTTGTAATTCAAGTTTTATTTTTAATTATAACGCGAATAAACGAGGGCCGGAGAATCTCAGTTAGTACATATTACAAAATCCGAGTTACTAAAAACAAACAAAACATTGCCATGTGCGTTTGACAACTTGAGCCAAAAGTAAAATGAAAAATATAAAGTAAAAGACTAGTAGATTCCTGAAATGACTAGTGTTCTGGATACGAAAAAAGTAGGTATTTCGCAAAACGTGTAGTGGCTGTGTTTTCAATCTAAAGCAAAAAGTCGGTCGCTAGTAACACGTACGTCTGACAACTCGCCGGTCACGGCTCCATTCTTGTCTCAAAATCTAGCCCTTCATCTCGCTTTATAGTGGCAATCCATTTCGATCTCAATAAAGAATTTGAAGGCAAGTTGGAAAAGGATAAATGCTCGCTACTCTGATTTCTCTTGTCGTTTGTACAGTAGTTAACAGAGCAATGCTCGTGGGCCATGCTTATTACTTGTCATATATCCCTACTGTAAACACCAGTGTAACACAAACTTTATGCCCGTCCAGCCTCGATTTGGTGTCTCACGCAATCCAAGATGGCGCTACGTGATAAAGGTGTATCCCATTGTTTTAAGATTTTTTTACGTATTAATATTGAATAATGACCTCAATTGACTCGTTAGCTGAAAGATAACGAACAGCCATTTACGTGCTAAT